GATCCGAATCTATGATGTATTCCTTTTAGCACAAAGGGAATTATGTATTTTAGATTCTCTTCGGCTCTTCGTTGAAGTTTACAGGTCCTCTTCTGCAGCACTACTTCAGTAGTATTTCTCAGCGAATGAATAGTGTTTTTCTCTCACAACAAATCAGATAAGCCAAATTTCAGCGAAACGAAAAATTGAAAAAGACTGCTTTAAATTAGTACTCCTAGTATGATACCTTTTTCTTTCAATAAAAAATCCCCCCCTCTCTACTATGCATCACCCATGTATTGCTTGCCATTATTCAGAAAAACAGACCTGATATTGCAACGCTAGCGTCTGTATAAGCGTGGTGTGCTTGTATAGTGGTGTCGCTGTGTGAGTGTATGTATTCTCTTGAATTAGAACAAAAATGTAGTACAATACATTTTTTACATCTACTTTTTCCTGAGTTGGTAAATCTTTTGTCTAACAGCTCACGTTTCATGTTAATCTTCTAATAAAGAAAAATGGTCATGCTACGTGCTGAAAAGGACGTTGATACCATAAAATCTTTTCTTTTGTCAGGTGGAGAGCGTTTGGTGGGCAAGCTATGACCATGTCTGTCTAGCTTTGTACTAACTTGCGAACTTGAAATACTAGGAGTAGGAACAATAACTAAAAAGCTCATTTCAGTCGGTTTAGCTTCCAAGCAAGAAGGCCGTGACTGGTTATATATAAGTTCCTCAATTGGCATCCATCTGTTTGTTTTGTGGTGATAAAAAGTTTCCAATAATATCAATACCGCAATTTCTCAAAATTCAAATGTTTCAATACACAATGTATTAAACTGCATGAAGCTGCTTTTGCCATATCCTATACTCTTATAAAGCAAAATCTCACTAGCAATTTTTCTTGACATGTAAGGTGTCCACCTCAGCAGTCAACTATCACTTGCAATTAAAGTTCACTAGCACAAGCGATTATGGCATCCACGTCAGCGAGACACATCATCTACTAACATACATTTAGTTGTCCACATCATCGTGCCACAATATCCACTAACATTAGTTTATAATAGTTAATCTCTTCCTAAGAATTGTACGAATAGTTAAATTTCATTCCAAATCAATTGTTCTCGCAAAACGCGTGGGGTGTTCTTCTAGTTCTTAAAAACCATAAGGTTGTTGATATTTAGCTTTTGCCAGTTTTTATGACCCATAGAGCAATAAATGAAGTCAGATTCTTAAAAACTAGGGATCCAAATACTCCCATCAGTTTTTGCTCAGAATCTAGATTTTAAAAACTAAAGACAAAAACTATTTTTTAAGAATCTGAAACTCATCTAAACAGGGCCTATAAACATAGAACCTAACATGATTTTAGGGAAAAAAGTTAAATATTTGTACGTTCCTATTGGCACAAAAGTCCATCACATTAATGTATTCTGAACTTATATCGGTTCCACCTACTAAAATTTAGTCCCTGTCACATTAAATGTTTGGACACATACATGGAATATTAAAAGTAGACTAATTACAAAACTAATTGCACATATTGAGACTAATTTACGAGATGAATCTATTAAGCCTAATTAGACTCATGTTTAGTCTTTCTAATTAGTACCTAGATATCTGATGTGACGTCTACTAAACTTTGGTCCCTGGATCCAATGTTTCATGGCCATGCTTCATGTTTTTCTATTATCTCTGACCATATGGTTTTTATGTACCATATTGCCATTTTTATTATTGTGGTGACTGATCGAGATCCTCTATAAATTATAGTGGGTTTTGTTATACTTTTTATGTCTAGTGCCACCTTAAATTTGCTTTCATGCAGCAATCACAGCGCTTATGAACCGTACTATTTTAGTAAAGGAACAGTATTTTCTCTCACAACAAATTAGCGAACAATACTTTTCAACTTGTTTTTTCAGTAAAGTGAATTGGGCGTCTTAACCCGAAAATAACAGCTCCATACATATTTGCATTTCAAAGGGTGAGCAAAGTTACAACAGTCAACATAAGGATGTCCTAGTTTTGACAAGTCAAGTCCAAAAGGTCACCTGTCTTATATCCGCAAAGTGCCAACTCAGCGACGTGGTAATGCTTTTGCCTTGTTCTGCTATTTGGGCTTCACCAATGCTAACAAATTTGTTGACCTCAGGCCTGGTTTAGCTAATGAAATTTTTTTAGAAAATGGTACTGTAGTAATTTCGTTGTTATTTGATAATTAGTGTCCAATCATAGTCTAATTAGAGTTAAAAGATTCATCTCGTGAATTTTGTCAAACTGTGTAATTAATTTTATTTTTTATTTATATTTAATGCTTCATGCATACGTCCAAAGATTTGATGTGACGAAGAATCTTAAAAAATTTGTAAAATTTTAGAAACTAAATAGTCACACAGCCAAAAGCAGCAGTACACGTAGGCCAAAAAAAAAATCAGGCTCTCACCTCACAACGGAGGCAGCTTCTTTGCTCTGACGCAAGCAAACACCTTTACTACCTCTTTCCCTGGCATGAGTGCTCGGCTTTATTTGCTGGGGGACCATCGGAGGCAGCTGCTTCCCTGCTGCAACGCGCGCTCCAAGGAGATGCTCTAGCTTCTCGTCAGATGGAGCTATCCAGCCTGTTTGATTCACTGATTCGTATCATTGATGGTTTATAAAAAAATATTATTGATTAATTTGTGTGAAAAAAAAATATTATTTCAACTAGAATTTTAGAATCGTTTACGATAAGCCACAGCCAAACAAACGTGCTTCGCCTCTTCTGCGAGATGTTATGCCATGCTGCGAGACTATTACTCATGATGACGTGGCTTAAAGAGCAGATGTAGAGGTTGGGTCAGTTGTCCAGGTAGACGCGTTGGGAAGCCCTTATCCGACTTCTACTTTAAGGTTTGGCTTAGTTTCTAAAAATTTTCACCTTAAACTATCATATCGAATCTTGCGGTATATATATGGAATATTAAATATAGATAAAAAAAAATTAATTGCACAGTTTAATCGGAAATCACGAGACAAATGTTTTAAGACTAATTAGTCCATGATTAGCCATAAGTGCTACAGTAACTAACGTGCGCTAATAATGGATTAATTAGGCTTAATAAATTCGTCTCACAGTTTTCAGACGAGCTATGTAATTAGTTTTTTTATTAGTATCCGAAAATCCCTTCCAAGATCCCCGAAACATCTATTGTGACATTCAAAAATTTTCATTTCGCGAACTAAACACAGCCTAAGTCTTCAACAATGAGGTACTCGCTCAGTTCCGAAAGTCACTTTAACTTTTTGATATATTTATTTTGTTAAATATTTAGACATATTATTATATCTATATGTATAAAAAAATTGATGTATCAAAAAAATCAAAACGACTTATAATTTAGAACGAAGAGAGCATAATTTAGTGTGTACAATCCAATGTAACGTAGTCGAAGACGGATGTTCGATAATTGTACTTCTTGATAATTATCTTTATTATTGTCTTATATTGCTGATGTTAGTGGTTATCCCACTCTCGTCTTGGTCATGACTCTGAACATTCAGTGGATAGGATAGGATTATGTCTCAGTGAAGAGTTTTATTTTGTTGTTTCCAAGAGTGCCATGCCATATAAAATGAAATAAAACATCCACTCTCAATTGAAAGTTTCATTCCGTAGTTTCATAGACATTTAATTCTATGACTCATAGAAATTTGGTACCTGTGCCAAAAGATTTTAATCTCCATGAAATTCAATTCTTCTATATCTTCGTTAAAACATTGTCATGTCATCAAAAGTGCATGTGACAGGCTATTAAATGCAAATAAAACTCTAGTGGAACTCCCACTGAAAGCCTGTTCACTGGTTGGTTTCTAGGCTGATAAGCCCGACTGGTACTGGTTTGTCGTGAGAGAAAAACATTATTGACTGGCTGATAAGCCCTGACTAAAACCAATAAGCGAACAGCTGTGAGACTGGCCTAACAACCTTTAGAGCAAGTGTAATAAAAGAGCCGAGCATTTGGCTATAAGACAAAGACATGTCATCTACTACATCCGTTCCCAAAAGAATACAATTCTATCACAATGTCACGTTTTAGTACTTAAGTTTAATTAATTATAGATAAAAAAAGTATCCATATTTATGATGCCATACAAATACCATCAGATTAATGACGAAATATATTTTCATAATAAATTAATTTAAAGACATAATTGTAAATATTATTCACTAAAAACTTGTTCAAATATAAACTATTTTTTATGGCACGTAATCCATAGTTGTATTTTTTTCAAGACGGATGTAGTACCTAAAAGACAAGTTATACAACAATGATCTTTTTACTTGTCTTTACGGGTATTTTATATTTCCTATATAAATTATAGTTTTATACCGGTGAACCTGTATTGTCCAGTAATTTTGCACCACCTCATCTTCTACCCAACTGTAAAGCTGCTTCTTTTCTGGTAACAAGGCATTGTTTAGATTGCAAGTTTTTTCACCTTCTCTCATCGCATCAAATCTTTGGATACACGCATAGAGTATTAAATATAGATAAAAAAATAACTAATTACACAGTTTAATTGTAAATTACGAGATAAATCTTTTGAGCCTAGTTAGACAATGATTAAACAATAATTATTAAATATAAACGAAAGTGCTACAATACCAAATAATGATTCTCGGCAACAATCTAAACAAGGCACAAGTGACGAGCTGATCGACACATCTAGCGCCAAGGGCCCTTCTCTCTCCTCCTCTCCCTTCCAGCTAATGCCTTGCTGACCTGTCGGGCGATACGCCCCTTGATACGCCCCTTGTTGGGCTTGCTCTTAAGGCTTTGAATGGTTCGTGTGCTTAATCTGATAATAGTACTCCATGTATATTCTTAGAAGTCAAAGACTATGTCAATGCAACTTGGATGTGCATAACCGAGGCCGACCTGCCCTGTGAAATGCGAATTCCGTGCTGACCTCTTCGTTTGACTTCATCTATGCAGCTATGCTCGCTCGCGGCTAGCTGTCTCAACTTCTCGCGCCATGGAGGAGAACCCAGCGTTCACGGCGGAGCTCGACGTGTCCCGTGGTTCGTCCTACGGCGGGTTCATCTCCGGCGTGCGCAACCAGCTGGTGCTTCACGCCGGCCACCTGGAGCTCGTCCTGCTCTAGCCACAGGGACGTTGAGGTTTAGTTCCATATCGGATTTAATGGCGTGGAAGCACAACATATAAGGCGGAGGAAGTCCAACCTATTATGCTAGTCTTTTAGGTTGATTAAGGCCCAAAAGCCGCTCCGGTAGACTTGGGACCTGTGAGAGTGTAGCCTGTGGCAACGAACCAAGTCGGCTGCAAGCCAGCTTGAAGATCGAGAACTCAGTGGTCATCACCGGTTTCAACAATTAGTATTAGAGTCGTCCATGGTCAGAAAAGCTAAACCCGATAAAAAAAAATCTCGAGCGTCACTTATAGGAACTTAGTGGTCACGAGCGTCACTTATAGGAACTTAGTGGTCACGTTTCAACAATTGGTAAAAAAAAATCCAGCGTCACATATGTGACAGCCCCGATGTCTGACTTCAGGTAGATTGCTGGGGTTTAGTGCATTGGTGCTCCTCCGGTACGCGCCGACAACCTCTGCATCTCCGGCTACCAGAGCCCTGACGGGCGGTGGTCGCGCAGCTCTCCTTCACCGAGCGGCCGGGTTAGAGCCGGAGAGTGTCACCCTCGGCAAGAAGGATCTCGAGGCCGCGGTGGGGCAGCTCGCAGCGGTTGGACGACGATCCAACGCCGGCGCCGGCGGCAGTAGTCAGCAGGACACCGCGAGATCGCTCATGGTCGTCGCGGTGATGGTGTGCGAGGCCATCAGGTTCAGGAGTGTCGCCGGCGCACTCGCGCACATCATGTGCGGCGCCGCGCGGTTCGGCCCGCTGCCGGCGCACATGGTCGCCCAGGTGAAGAACTGGAGCAGCCTGTCAGAGTACTGGCTCGGCGCCGCCCTCTACGGACAGAAGTTCCTGCCGCTCGTCGGGGCGGCCGACGGCAGCCAGCAGCGGTGCGACCACATCCCCGCGGCACCTGCTTGCGCCTGTGAAGATCGACTGCCAGGACGCCATGATGGCGCTCGGCGTCGCGCTGAACCGGCAGAGGCCGCTGCAAGACAGGCACAGGAAGGCGCTCGACGAGCACTGGCGCGCCGTGTGCGCCCAAGCACGCAGCAAAAGGTATGGTCTGTGGTCTTGGAAAATGTTACTAGTAAACATGTTATCTTATATCTTTTCACATGTCTATCTGGTGTGTGTATCAGAAAGGAAATAAATTTACTTGAGCCAAAAAAAAAATCCAATCATGATAGCTTTACAGCATTAGGCACATGCTAGTCATCAGTTTGGAGCCCAAACTGTAGAACTGATAGTACCTTATAGCTACCAAATGAAGGAACCAGTTTCTGTCAATCGTTTTTACAAGTACGCTGTACAGGCAGGCACAAGCCCACAACTGATAGTCTGATAATTACAAAGCAGTTCGTTCGCTCACATTTCGCAGCAGGCCCATAAGCCCATAACTGATGCATCATACATGGCTACTACTACTATACAGTATACACAGGCCGTAGACTCTGTTGGTATCAAAATGCTTGTGAGTAGCTTATAGAACGGTAGTAAAGAAAAAGTATGATTGATGTTCCAAGGAAGACAAAAAGACTGATGATGATGGGCGATGGTGCAGTTAATATTAACCACCTCATCTCATCTTTTAGCCTTACCTAGAGCTAAAAACTAGTTCATGGTTGCTACTCGGAACTACACCTTGCTATCAGTGTTATTTTTATTACCATGCTGGTCACTGCTTCTATGATGCGCCTTTGATGTGTCAATCTGGATGCTCAAAGTTGTTACAACACTAGGCGTCTCGAACTGTTTCAATTCACCCTGCACAAATCGAAAATGGGGAGCGCAAATCTACCGTGAGAACTTTGAAGTGTTATTATAACCCACATATAGACAAGTTATTGCTCATGGCTCAATACGACAAACAAGTTAAGAAGGGGTAAGTTTACCATTAGTTGTGAATTCTCTGCTTCCATGTCTTCACAAGCCTTCTTAAGCTCGTCGAGTTCCGATCTGAGTGTGCCATTAATGGCAGTCTGGTCAGTTACCTTCTGTGCTAGTTCCTCACATTCTTGCTGGGTAGTATAACAAAGACATGAAACCGATCAGTGTATATTTTCCCTAAAGAAGCAGTGCAATGTGAAATCTTCAGTTTATTTGATTGTACCAACAAAAAATAAGTGTCTTTGAGTAGCAGACAATTTTTTATCATTAATATCACAAATTCTTTTGTTGTTGTCCAACAAAACTGCATTTGTCTGACCACCTAAATGCCAAATTAGATATGTTGAGCTGAACTCAGATTGATGAATTCCCACAAATATTAATGGTAGAGGACACGGCAGGTCATAGGCACACTCAACTTCCCAAACAACTAGAAGCATTACAAAGTATCTGCAAATTCAAATTGACCGAGTTTATCCAACTCGCCCAAGGCTTGTCAGACATTTTCTTACATTTGTTTAACCATATGGTAGTGGTAACGGATTTTTTGAGGTTCTTCCCAGATGATCAGGCCAGTCACACCATTTTCAGAGTACATGCTTAGCCAAGTTGAGAATTGCTATTTTTTAAGTTTTCCTTATACTACCACTCCTAATTAAAGCACTCAACTAGGCAAAAAGGGTAAGACCGTAAGAGACCTTTAGAACAAAACAATTCAAATCTCCCCACAACATTCGTTGTACAATTAGACATCTTTATTCGACAGTACCTGCTTGCGTAGTCTTGACCTTCTAGCTGACTCTCTGTTAGATTGTTTTCTTCTCTCCTTTTTCAGTTCTCGCTCATCCTGCCAAAAGACAGCACATGACAAAGATGTTGAGAGGACCTGCTATATATTTATCGGAGTTCGAGATTTAAACGTTTGTTGTTAATGACAATTTCCACTGTATATTTCCCATATATAAGATAACCATACCATCATCGACAAAGCGCTGTCATGCTGGGAAGGCGCCGTAGCATATATTTCGCCCTGTCCAGAGGTCTCTGCTTTAACTGGAGAATCACTCCAAAGTTCCATCCCAATGTTCAAGTTGGGTCTGACATTGGAGGTTGCAGCCATCTCAGGTGTCGAAATGGAGAGTTTTGCTGCAGACCTCTTTTTTGCTGTGATCCGTGACTCAGCTGCAGCATTTTGAGCTGTTGCAGCCTGTGATGGCTCACCTGAAAAGTGCCAACCGTCAGGCTGCAACAAGACCAGATCCAAGCATACCACCAAAACAGGAAAGCTACCGCATTGTATCTTATATAAGCAACCATTACGGATTATGATAACCAACCTTTTACGTTGGCGCCGCTGGACTTTCTCCTCTTTACAGAAGGCAATACCTAGATAAAACTCACAATCAACCAAGACGGCCTGGGTAGCACTACAGTTTGCTGCATTAAGGTAAGGACCAACAGAGCACCTTATGATGGGCACTAGCATCTCTTTTATCTGATGAGTTCTCGCTCCCACCGACACTGCTTTGCACACCACAATAATTTCAAAATCAGCTCAATAAACCAACTGAACAGATCAGGAATTCGCGCAGTGCAGACGTGCAGAGCACATTTTAGCACAAAATGAAATAGCACCTTCCGGAAGTGCAACCACCAGAGAGGGCGCCGTAGCTCTTCTTCTTGCTCTTCCCTTCCACCACCGCCACCGGCTCAGCAGTCGGGTAAGGCACACCCTGCATAGAACCAAACCCAGCGAGCAATTTCACATTCCAGCTGCAGCACTAGAGCGGTAGAACCTAAACGGAAACAGAGAAGTGCACACCGAAAATGAAACGATCGAGGGAGGGGGTCCAGCGTTCACCGTGGCCATTGACGCGTGCGTGGCGTAGTACGCGGGGTGGAACGACACGGGGAACGGCACCGGCGTCCCGTATGGCGCCCCCGCCGCGGCCGCCGCCATCAGGTGCTGCTGCATCCCACCGCCACAGTGGACCAAAACCCTAATCAAATTCAAATCCCGGAGACCCGGACCACCTCCTAAACGCGCGCGCGCGCGCGCACGGCGCGGAAGAACAGAAAGACGAGGCACCGTCGGTCGGTCGCACGTACCTGCGCGGCGTGCCAGGCGTAAGGTTGCCCACCGGCGGCGTAGTAGGCCTGCATCGAGGCGGCCCACTCCACGTGCGCCTGCGGCAGCGTCAGCGGCGCCGTCCCCGCCGCAGCGGACGCGTCGGCGTGGAGCGCGCGCGGGCGCTCGTCGCTGCCCGACGTCGTGGAGGTGGACGACGCCATGGCCGCGCCGCACGTGTCGTGTCTTGTACGTACTACTGTGCTGCAGCAGGTGGTGAGGGTGAGGGTGAGGCCAACGGGGGAAGCAGCGCGCGCACGACGGAAGAAAAGTGCACTACACGCAGCTGGCCCCAAGCTGCCACGCGAGGCGGAGGCACTGCAGCAGACGCGGACAGGGGCGGCACGCGGGTTCGGCGGGGGCAGGGGTCTCAGAGGTCTGGTCGCTTCGGGAAGGCGGGGAGGTGGCGGCGCGGCGCTTGGTCTCCGGGAGCCGGCCAGAGGGACGGCACGTGGACCGGGGCGCGGGGAACGGCGCAGGTGTCCGTGTAGGTGGCGCGTTCGGCGGGCGAGGAGAGTACGGGTGCGCGAGTGGGATTGGGCGAGGCGAGGGGACCACCGGTCAGCGGGGGTTGAGGTGCGAGGTGCGCGGTGCTGATGAGTCGGATGCCGCACGGACTCTGCTGACCTGGTGGACTGGCTGGGGCGCATGGACTGTGGTGTGCCTGGGCTGACATGGCCCGTGGGTTTGTTTGCTGGTGTTGTTGTCTGGGCCACTGCATCAGCCAACTATGCTGCTGTCACGTTCTTGGGCCTATATAGTCCACTAGTAGAAGCTAGAGCTACCATTGTTCTCGGTCCCCTTCAGTTTGGAAACCATGCTTGATGTTTCTTTTTCCGATTCCTAATTTTTATAATAAAGGTAATTTTATTTCAGACTCAAGCATCGTTTCATTGTCATTTCATATATAAGTAAAAAGTTTATTTAACCATCTACCTTAATGGTTGTCTGCTTCACTCTCACCTATAAAATCAAGTATTGAAAACCGTCTAAATAACCGTTTGAGGTGATTTTGAAGGTTGTTTCACTGACGTGTCATATTATACATGGGTGCTAACGTGACGTTGAGTCAGCAAATAGTAGAAAATTTTGCACAACCCCTAATTTGTCTAGAGCTGACTATGTAACCCGTCAACTATAAACCCGATATTATAGTCCTTAAAACATATAAGAGCATCTCTAACAGGGACCCTAATAAACTGGGCATCTACTCTACTTTTTGGTGCTTGGGGAAAAAAACTCAATTCAACAGGGTTCAGCTCAAGTCCCTACTTTATGGAGGCCCTCAAACATCCCCCCAGTTCTATCTCAGGGTGCGTAAGGAGCTCCCTATTTCTTCTCCCAGTACAAATTTCCCCGCAACAACTCACTTCAATACATTTTTCTCTTCATTTCTTCATAAATCTCTCCGGCACCCAAGCCCTATTTCCCTCCCGTGGTGAAGCCCCTTGGTCCGGCATGACCACACTATTTCCCACAACTTTACTTTTTGGGGAAAAAATATTTCCACGACTTTTCATTTCTAGAAAGTTATAAAATTATACCCAGAACTTTTGTGCATAACATTTTGTGACAAAAAATTTAGCATCACAATTTTTCAATATATGATTAAATATAAATTTATAGATAACTTATCGTGACAATGTTTACATGACCGTTGAAACCCAACTTGTTCATAACGATTACCACACAAAACTTGTTATAACAATTTCTAGATGTAACTTTTCTAGAGAACAATTTAACTTATACACATAATTTTTGTTAGTCAAAGTATTTTGAAAAAATACACACAACTCGTCTAGAACAATTTTTGTATAATTTGGTACGGACAAACTTTCTCAACCCAATTGTTTTCATAGTATATGAAATAAAAAAGGATAGGTTAATATAATAAAAAAACTAAGAAAAAATGAAAGGAGAAAAAAGTTCAATTAAGGGGATGCATATATTAGGGCATTTTCAATGACCAGTTTTTTTTCCGACGAAAGAAGAATTATATTAGATAATAGCTGAGTATATCAACACGTTACAAGCATTATGGATTGTACAAATATCTAGAAACTGATTTTTCATCTAAATTGTACCCACGTTGTGAATAGCTCCAGATCTCAAAACTAAACATGTACGACGCTTTACAGTATGGATGACCGCACAGACAAACACTCAGCAAAAGACCTGAGAACAGATGTCCAACGAACGACGGCCAATATTCATGTAGGCGGAGTTGAGAAACTTCTTCTTTCTGGTGTCTTCCTTCTTCTTTTTTCTGTCACCGAAGAATGAGGAAGACCGATCTAAAACTTATTCTCCCTAGTTCTTCATCGTGGTTAGATCTAACCACAATAAAACGTAGAATAATTTTCAATGGCCAGTTTTAATAAGCTTTGTATTAAGCCATGTGTGAGGAGAGAGATGTCTTAAACTTTTTGAGCTAATGGGAAGAGAAGATAAGTCCTTACGCGTCCAAATATACTAGCGATATAACTTCTCTATCTCTTAATAATAGATAGAATATACAAATAAAGGACACATTATACTCTTCCTATCCTATTAAAGGTGCCCTTCAATCGCGTCTCCATCCCGTTGTTAGGGTTGGGTGAGTCACAAAGGCACATGGAGCACGTGTCGGAGTGTCGGAGAGTGTTCCCTGGGAGCTAAAGATCACGAGATTGCCTTTCACTAGATACATCGCACATTCGCACGCATTCCATGTGGCAATGACTGCTTGACGTACAATAGACAGCGACGAGTCTACAGCAAGGATTTCCAGAATGAAATCTGTCGGTAAGACCGGTGCAGCACTAGTTAATTAAACCTGATTAACCTCGCTTAATCAAACCTACGTGCTTCACTATTCTGGACAGGCTCCGTTTACAAATACTAAGATTTGTTTGCATAGACTAACACTAATTATTAGTTCTTGGTAAAAAATAGTCAGCTAAAGAATACTATAGGAGTGTTTGGATTTGGTAAAAATGAACCTACTAGCCCACCTTTAACAAAGACTAAAATTAATGAGTCAAAGGAACCACGGCAAAATAGTAAGTAGAAAATTATTGTGCTATCTATATACGCATTGCATGTTTACATGCACCAGCATACATAGCAACGAGCCAAAGGAAAGAGAATTAACACAGGATGAAAGAGAATTAAGACAAAAGGAACCTCTTTGCATTTCTGAGAACCTTGCCAAATTTGCCTACATTTAATTACTTCTCCTCTTTGCATTTACAAAAGGGACAGCTTTTTCCTCCTTTCATTTGGTTTCACACTCACGTGTTCCATCGCCCTCGCTTGCTGTTTTTTGCGTGAACCATAGTTGATGCATCTGTCTTCCATGGCTCAGTCTCCCAATCCCAAGAGAAGGTCCCTACCTCTCCCTGATTGGAGATCTGGCTTGCCAGAGGATCTCCTCGAGTCCATCGGGCAGCATCTCGCGTTAGACCACGACGCGGCGTCCTTTTGATCCGCTTGCTCCCCATGGCGTGTCGCCGTCCCATTTGCGACCTTCGGGCCACTCCTGCTACTCCCGTTCGACCCCGACTCGGACCGCGTTGGCTTCTACTGCGTCCCGGAGAAGAAGGTCTTATCCAAGACGCTGCCCGATGTGCGCGGCAAGGTGGCGTGCGGCTCCTCGTGTGGGTGGGTGGCGCTCATGGACAAGGCGGCGTCCGTGACGCTGCTGAATCCATTCGTCGGTGCCCGTACCCCCCGCATTGAGCTCCCGCCAGCAGGCGAACACGTCGCGGCGGCGTCCTCATCGGAACGCGTGTCTAGGGTCCACGGCCGGTGGATCCTCCATCCCACCAACAGCTACGGGGACGCGGATGCCGTAGGCAGAGCCATCAAGCTAGAAGATATGAAGGATGTGTTCTTCCATGAGATCGTGCTCTCGGCGCCGCCTAACGCCACCGGCCGCGTGTGCATGGCTATGGCCATGCTTGAGTGCTCCACGGAGGTTGCGTTCTGCCGGGTTGGAGTCGACAGCGCATGGACGCTGCTCGACATCAAACTGGAGTTCTCCGTGGGGTCCATCGTCCACTGCCAAAACAAGTTCTTGGCGATCGACTGCACTGGAGAAATCTCCGTCTGCAGCAGCAACGCCGCCGGCGCTACTCCAACCACGACACTGGTGTCGTCGCTGTCGCCACCTGCGGGGCTCTGCCACCGCAGCTACCTGGAATCAAACAGTGAGCTGCACATTATGGGTGCCATGGTGAGCACGTTCCACGAGACACAAAGCTTCACCTACAGCAGCGCGATCTACAAGTGTAACCTCCACGACCGTACGCCGGAGTGGTCCAGGGTGAGGGACATCGGTGATCAGACAATGTTCGTGTCTAAACATTTCAATGAAAGCTTCAGTGGAACAAGTGTATCTAAGTACAAGGAGAACAAAATCTACATGTCTGAGCCATTGTATGGGGATCCATACGATTTGGTCCATCGACTGGAGATCGTTGATATTGCTACCGGCGCATCCGAAGTGAAGCCCGTCCAGGAAAAGATGCATGGTTTCGAGGCTCTAGGTTGTATTCGACCCAATCTCTGTAAGCTCTAGAGTTTGTGAGCCTACGACGCCGCGCACTCTGTGACTGTGTTAAATTCATAAACTTTGCTTTTTGGATTAAATGTCACTTTAACGTTGTTATTTAATTTAACAGTATTGTTATCTTATCGTGCGATCCGTATGTTTTTAATATAAATTATTAGTTATCCTGTAGCAACATACGGACACGCTACCTAGTCTATCTCTTAATAATAGATAGAATATTAAAATAAAGAACACATTATACTCTTCCTATCCTATTAAAGGTGCCCTTAAATCGCGTCTCCATCCCGTTGTTAGGGTTGGGTGAGTCACAAAGGCACATGGAGCACGTGTCGGAGTGTCGGAGAGTGTTCCATGGGAGCTAAAGATCACGAGATTGCTTTTCGCTGGATACATCGCACGTTCGCACGCATTCCATGTGGCAATGACTGCTTGACGTACAATAGACAGCGACGAGTCTACAGCAAGGATCTCCAGAATGAAATCTGTCGGTAAGACCGGTGCAGCACTAGTTAATTAAACCTGATTAACCTCGCTTAATCAAACCTACGTACTTCACTATTCTGGACAGGCTCCGTTTACAAATACTAAGATTTGTTTGGATAGACTAACACTAATTATTAGTTCTTGGTAAAAATAGTCAGCTAAAGAATACTATAGGAGTGTTTGGATTTGGTAAAAATGAACCTATTAGCCCACCTTTAACAAAGACTAAAATTAATGAGTTAGTCCCTCCATCCTAAAATAGATGACACTTTTGACTTTTAGATATCATGTTCAACGATGGATGCAGAACATGATTGAAGGGAGGCTGGTCTCTTCTTCTTCCTCTCTCTCTATTTTTTTCTTTCCTCCACCTCTTCTTCTCCCTCACCCTCCCCATATTTCCATTGATGCACCAGCTGTAGGGGGGCTCCAGCCCCCCTTTAGATCCGCCCCTGATCAGGTTCGACCATTGTTCTTATTCAATTTTCTTTTGCAAATAATAAAATAAATGTGCCAATATTAAAGTATTTTCAATGATAAAATAAGTCATAATAAAATAAATAATATTTATATAAAAATTTGAATAAGATGAACAATCGAATAAGATGTCCAAACGTCAAAAAGCGTGGTATTTTGGGACCCTTGTTAGTTCATGCATCCAAAGACACTAGAGCATCTCCAAAAGTCCCTAAATATCCTCATAATCCTTGTGTTTTTAGAAAGATGGGGAAAACATCTCTCCAACAACTCCTAACATATACTCATAATCTTTCCCCGTAACTTTGCGCGGACGAAGCCACGCGCGGATCGGCGTTCGTGCGCGGAGTCCTTCTTCCTGCGCTTTTCCTAGCTTCTGGCCCTGGAACTCGTAGTGGTGCAACGCCAGCGTCTCAGCCGCCTTGCCGACGAGGAGGGCGGCGACGAGCTGCAGCCCCTCCGTGAGCTCCCCACCGCATCACACGAATTCGACGAACCGGTCCACGAGCGACGGGCCGATGTACATGACCGAGAGGTGCGCGACGCCGAGCACGGCGGTGAGAAGGAACTGCGGCCAGAAGGAGCGCAACAGCGCGGTGAGCACCGGGCGCTGGGGCTTGGATGAACCCGGCACCGGCGCAGGCCAGTTGGAGGCGAACAGCGCGTACGCCACCTCGGCGGTGTCGGGCGGCACCACGGGAGGAACTTGGTCGGCCACGAGCGTCACCCTGGAGCCCTTGGCGATGAGCGGGTTGATCCTTCTCGGTCTTGTTGCCTGGCGTGGAGTTGATGACGATGGAGCCGTAGCAGCCCCGGACGAAGCAGAAGTGCCACAGAGGCGACGACGAGCGCCTGCTTGCTTGCGTGCAGGCTGCTAGTTGCCTGCTTGCCTGGTTGCTACCCGCATGCTCGCTTGCATAGTACTGTATGCATGCTCTGTTTGCCTGCCTGGTGGTCGGCCGCTGTTGCCTGCTTGCCTGGTTGTCGGCTGCTGGGCTAGGGCAATACTGAGGAAAGGAGGTAGAGGCGGCGTATCGAGCACGAAGAATTCCGCGCGAAAAAGGACTGAAAAAACTAAATAGGACCAAAATTTAATTTTTTTAAGTGAAATATTAGGAACTATTGAAGATGATCTTTTTTTTTCTCCCATTACATTTTATGAGTTGGAAAATAAAAAAAATTAAGAGTAATATTTAGAAAACTCTTGGATACGCTCTTACACAGCAACCACACTCGCAATTACTACACGTCACCTCACCCCTGCTGGATTTCCCCTCCCCTCGTCGCTATTTATTAGGCAACTCGTCGCAGAGACGGGCGCATTCGCTCGCACACACTCCAGCCGCCTGCTTTCACCGGAACTCCAGGCGAACGAAAAGATGGCCGCCGCCGACGCCGGCAAAGCCGCTCACACGGCGCCGCACGCGCTCCTGCTCCCCTACCCGGCGCAGGGCCACGTGATCCCGTTCATGGAGCTGGCCGACCGCCTCATCGACCGCGGCTTCGCCGTCACTTTCGTTAACACCGAGTTCAACCACCGCCGCGTCGTGGCCGCCGCCGCAGCAGCAGCCGGAGCGCCCGGATCCGCCTTCGCCGGCGGCCGGCTGCGGCTCGTGGCGGTCGCGGACGGGATGGACGATGGCGAGGACCACGACGACTTCGTCCGCCTCAACGCCTGCATGCAGGAGGCCATCCCGCCGCAACTGGATGCGCTCCTCGATGCCTCCGACGGAGGCCTGGGCAAGGTGACGTGCGTCGTGGTCGACGTCTTGATGGCGTGGGCACTGGACGCGGCGAATCGGCGTGGGCTCTCGTCCGCCGCCCTCTGGGCCGCGTCGGCGGCGGTGCTCGCCGTGCTGATCGGCGCCAAGGACCTCATACGCGATGGCGTCATCGATGACGACGGTGAGAGTTGAGACAGGCAACTTAGCATTAATTTCTCACTAATTGCTACTCCCTCTCTGTCGTCGCGATTTACGTATCGATAAGTTTTAAAAATATTAGCAATATTTTTATCTTTAAAAAGTTTATTTATTATAAAATTAGATTGAATGATATATAAATATATTAATTATGTATCATAAATGCTAATATATTTTATATATTTAGTCGAAATTATTTCTAAAAAGCAAAAACGACCCTTAACAAAGGACGGAGGGAGTACTATGAGACTTTTCCCTGTGTGTCATTATAAAAGATTGTAATTCCCTATGTGCCCCTGAAAAAATTCAGCGGTCTTCAGCGCCACTACTTCAACTTTTTCGTGTCATCCATGCCACTTCCGTAAGTTTGGGGTTTAACGCCGTCAAACTGCAGGTGTGAAAAGACGAAAATGCCCTTAAGTTCAAATATGTTATTAATTTTTTTTGAGCATCTTAATGACTTCAAATGAAAAAACTCAAAACTAGAAAGTTGTAGATCTCGTCGAGATCTATATTTTTCATATAATTTTTTTTTTCATTTAATTCCGCAAAAAAAATAATATGATTTTTCTAAGATATATTAATCATTTCAAATCATATTTTTTTGCGGAATTAAATGAAAAAAAATTTATATGAAAATTATAGATCTCGACGAGATCTACAACTTTCTAGTTTTGAGTTTTTTTATTTGAAGTCGTTAAGATGCTCAAAAAAAATTAATAACATATTTGAACTTAAGGGCATTTTCGTCTTTTCACACTTTCAGTTTGACGGCGTTAACGTCCAAACTGACGGAAGTGGCATGGAGGACACGAAAAAGTTAAAGTAGTGGCGCTGAAGACCGCTGAATTTTTTCAGGGGCACACAGGAGATTATGATCTTTTATAATGGCACACAGGGAAAAGTCTCGAGTACTATTCATATAGCTAGAACGTCTTATTCCAAATCGGGGTACATGCTAGTCTGTGAGGGATAGGACGGTAATGAATCGATCCATTTTATTTCTTATAACCAAAAAAAGAAAGAGAAAATGATAGTAGACCATCTTACACCTCAAACCAAACACCTTATTTTTGAGCCCAAAACTTCTTATCTAAACTAAAATAGAAAGTAAAAAAAACTGTCACACCCAATTTTAAGAATAAAATTGAATGCACAAAACTCGTATGTGCCCAGGTATCAGTCACACACATAAGCTGACAAATTACATAAAGTATCATCACGGTGTCTCTTACATCACGATTAATAATATAACTTAGTCTTACATCACACAGTGGAAGATAAAAAGATAACTCTCTCGTGGAACTATTACCCATCCGGAATTTTTATCCAAATATAGAAAGTAAACAAGCGTAAGTACATCCCGTACTCAACAAGATAACATGGGGTTCATGAGGCTCAAAAAGGATGACACTGGTTTACTGCTGTTAGCATTTTTAGTATGTCAAGATTTTATCATCAGTGATTGTCAAGTTATGCTTAAGCTCCCATTTAAACCCACATGATCATATATCCGATCAATTGAGTCATGTAACATCATCATAATATCATCATAATCATCTCGTAAAAACAACATTATAAGTAGCCATCTATTCTGTGAGTTTTTCGGGCCGCTCTTAACCGTGAGCACGGCTGTTATAACAGTTTGTTACCCTCTGCAGAGGTGGTGCACATTCACCGCGAGTCGTGATCCCCATATGCCCGGGTTAATTACTCTCATATCACTGCCAAGGTGAGCGGGTAGGATACACTATGAAGCCATTTCATAGGTTTCTCTAACAAGTTAGGGCCGCTAGATTTCCTCGACAGGCAGATGTAGGAACCCCCTTTCCTATGGCACATGTCCATCGCGGCTATACACATAGGAATAGAAGTAGTCCTATACCCAACGTGGCAAGCCCCTTTTACGCCATAAAGGTAACCTCTAACAAGCTAGAAAAAGGTCATATTACTGAGCTAAAGTCAGAGCCATATGACCCTCACGGTTGCACTGTTAGTCCCAGCTTTTGCCGACAGATAAGTCCTTATGGAGGGCCGAGAGCATCATGATCGAAAGTCATTTGCTCCATCGTCCTATAATCTGTTGTTTAAAAGCAACTTTTACCTTTTCATTTCATAGAACCATCATTCATTATGTAGATCATGTTCATTTATATTGAGCACTAGCAAACTATTCATATGCATATAACCCATAGGAGACAAGGAACAGGATAATCAATAACTAGGATGTCCTTACGGGTATCAAAATTAGACACATGCAAATGAGTAATGAATAAAGGTGAATAGGCATCAAGGTAGATCCCATGCTATACTTGCCTTGGTTAGCAAACTCTTGCTGGTCCTGCTGGTCGTCGAAGAACTCTTGATTTCCAACGTTCTCCTCACTGTCTGAACACGACCAACATGGCCACACACAACATTCCAGGAACATTCATGCAAAGCAAACAATCCTACAATTAGAACAGTACACCAACAGTATAGAAAACAAGATAAAATGTTTATGAAAATAATCTACGTCTCGCTACGATCACGTCAACGCGAAGTTCAGGAAAATCGGAGCTAAAACGCGAAAGTTATGAATTAAACGGGGTTTTCTATAGCACTTTATTTAATTAAAACTAATCATGAAATTTAAAAGTTGCAAACTTGATTAACAGTGGTACTAACACGTAGATTATGAAATTACGAAGCTAACGCAATTTGAACGGGTTAATTCGGAGCTAAAACGAATTTTTTATGAGCAAAACAAATCTAGTGGCATTTCTGTAAATACTGAAAACGTATTTTGAACTAAAACAGTGCACTTTACGTTTTCAATACGAGAAAGCGTAATCTGGAAACTACGCTAGGGACGACGGGTTCAATTCATCCGAAAGCGAGGGACTCTTTAGCAAATTTACATGCGAAAGGGTATCTTCTAATCTTGGCCGCAGATCTGGAGATGGACGGCTTGGATCGGCTCTGGGGAAGGAAGAGAAGGGGGGTCCGGCCGGCACAGTAACACCGGCGGCAAGCTCCATGGCCGGCGGCGTGGAGGTCACCGGCGCGCGCGGTTAGGGGCCCACGAGCCACGGTTCGAAGAACCGAAAGCATAGGGGAGTAGCGGGGGTTCTCGCGAACCCGTCCAGGCCAAGAACGGGGCTGGAGGGCGCGGCTGAGGCGACGGACGCCATGGTCGGCGGCCGAGAGCTCGCGACGCACGTGGCTAAGGCTCTAGAAGCCATGAAACGAGAAACAAAAAGCACGAGAGGAGAGAGGAGTACGGCGATGCTCACCACAGCGAAAATAGGAGCGGAGGCGGCTCGGGGACGGTGGTTCGCGCGGAGGGCGGACGGCGGAACCGGCGATTCCTCGGTGCGATGGTTACCTCGGGCACGGGCGACGCGAGAGGGAGAAAGGAGTAGCAGGGAGCGTGGGGAAGGGCTCGGCGCCGTTTTAAAGAGGCCGGGCGCGGAGAGGACGCTCCCACGACGCGGAACGTGGGCGCGGAGCGGTTGCGGCTCATGGTTGACTGGCGCGGGGAGAGCGGGAGGAAGGGGAACGCGCTGACGGGCGGGGCCGGGTGGTCAGCGACTGAAGAGGGAAGGAGGCGCCGCGGCAGTTGCCTGGCCGAGCTGGGCCGCGGCGCAGCGGCTTCACGCGAGCTGGGCCGGCCCAAGAACGGGAGAAGGAAGAGCGAGCGGGCCGCGGGGAGAAAATGGGCCAGCAGTCCGGTGGGAGAAAAAGGCCTGCTGGCCAAAATGAAAAAGGGAGGGGAGAGAAATGAAGAAACCTTTTTTTTTCTTTTTAGAGTTTTTCAAAAGTATTTTCAAATGGATTTGAATTCTTTTTTTTTAAAAATTTGGTCAAAACCAATCATCCCGAAATTTAATATGCAGCAGCATGTATGCATCAACATGTTACTAACCTTATATTTGATTTTATTTTCACAAAAAATATTTCTTTCCTATATTTCAATGCTCACGTAATAACATAATTAAATCGAATTTTTCTTATTTCAAAAGACTGAAATTTTGGGTGTTACAAAAACTAGCAAAGATGGCCTGCACAAATAGTATAGGTAGGTATGTAGCTAGTGTTTCTCACTACAGTAATTAGTTTTTTTTATTCTTTTGTTTAATTGTATTGGTTCTTTCTCCATGCAACCTATTGCATCCACGGCACAAACTCCATATAGCTATTCGTTCTGTTCTGCACCACTACTTTAGTAGTACTTTTCAGCGAACGAACAATGTTTTCCTTTCCCAACAAATCAACATAAGCATTAGCAGCAGCCAAATTTCAGGGAAACGAACAGGGATCGATAAATTTCTTGTCTTAAAACTATTCTGCGTGTCTCTCTCTCATCTTCTTTTTATCCCACTAGTACCCATGGTCGTGCTTGTTGTGCAAGCCTCTCACAAGTTGTTTAGTCCCTTAACTCTTTTCTGAATTTATTTTTATATCACCTTATAACACCGGTGATGTGCCGATTTCATACTTGCTAATGCTAACCATGCCACTCTACTACATTGTTGTCAACAATAATGCGATCCATTTATTTTGGCTAGTGACAAGCTTTTCGTGAAGGAGAAATCAAAACGATGTATGTTGCTTTGCTATGAGCTTCTCACGCATGCACATCAGAGAATTGATTAACAGTTACAAGTAGGGTATGAAAAGCCAATGCGGTTTTCGTTAATTGGTCATAATATCGGACATATGAATTTGTTCCTCCCCTAGGACACTGCCATGAAAGTCGTAAGGTTTGATCCAAGATCATTGTAATCAACACATTTTTGGTTGGGTTTTTTTCCCCATTTCTCCATGTCATTAGAGATGCAAAACCTTCCGCCACGAAAACAGGGGGAAATGGCTTGTCGAAATTGATATGAAGTAGTAACCAAACCAATAAATTTGAACCTCAAAGGCCTATGCAAATGCAAAATTTAGCTAAATGCACATATGATCTTTCATTACCTGTTTCAGCATTTGGAAGTGAAAGCCACCTGTACGTCTGTAATATTGATCAGCATCACACAAGCTGATCCATCCAGCATAAAACATATTGATATAGCAAGGCATAAAGCACGGTGGATGAGAAAGAAGTGGCATGTGAATCCAAAGTGCTTCTACGGTTCTTTCATAGGCATGCTTGTAATCCGTCCCATGATGTTCCTGTGGTTTCCTCTATTTTTATTACCATATATGGGAAAATCCAAGTAAAAACGGTGATTGAATTCTACACAACTACTACTTCTTTCCATACCAATGCTATCTATGTTAGAGTCTTTGTTTATTTTTTCCTATATCTTTTGATAAATCTAGATTGCTATAATATAGATTTATATGATCAATGTGGTAGTCTTACTTATTAATACACTATTTTTATTGATGTACTTGTCAAACGTATGGAATTTTTTACTAAGTATCTATAAAGTTTAGTTTTGAATTTAACTGTTTAATAATTATATTATATGGACTACTTGAGTAGGTTTTTTTCTTTACATTCATGTTGAGATCAAATTATTAACGTTTTGTAGTTTTTGATTCATAATTTTGCCTTCTCTAACTATGTTTTACATGAAATTTATATTTAGATATATTTCTTTACAACTTGTATGAAAATATAATATTATTTATCATTTCTTTAGCATTGATTTTCTTGTTAATTTAAGCCGTGAAATTATCATAAAATCTAACGGTGTAGGCTCTTTTTTCGATTATAGTCTTGTAATTGTATTAGGCATTGACACTTTGATTTAATTCAAGACGTTAGATCATCATAGTATCCGATGGTGTGGGTCTTTTCTTCTTTTCTATTTTTTATTAACCTTGTGGTTGTATTAGACATAGACTCTTTGATTTAATCTAACTTGTTAAATCATAAAAATCCAGCGATGTAGGTTCTTTCTTTTTTCCTAATTATAAGTTTTTGGCTGTATTAATTAGGCATAACTTCTTTGGGTTAACACAGATGTATGATGACCCTTAACCCAATGACGTAGGTTCTTGTTTTTTTTTTATTGATCTCATAATTTATAGACCCTCTCAGTGAGTGTGGAGACTCCTTTTAACGCGGTTGTATTGATATAATATATACTCTTCAATTTTTTTACGGACTTGCAGGAGCTCCAATGAGGCTGGACAACAACTCATTCCGGTTGGCCGAGTCCATGCCGGCCATGGACGCTGTCTTCCTAGCCTGGAACTACATAGGCAACCGCGATGCCAAGCGCATGATCTTCCACTACCTCACCACCACCGCGCGAGCCGCTGTTGCCAAGGCGGACGTAGTCCTCTGCAACACCTTCGAGGAGCTCGAGCCGGACATCGTCGCCCCCTACTCCCCAGCTTCTTCCATCCTGCCTATCGGTCCGCTGCGGACCTGGCAGCGCCTAACGAGCGAGGCGCCGGCCGGGCACTTCTGGCGCGCCGACGACAAGGCTTGCCTGTCCTTCTTGGACGCGCAGCCCTATGGCTCTGTCGTGTACGTGGCCTTCGGGAGCTTGATGGTCATGAGCCCCGCGCAGCTCCAGGAGCTCGCGTTGGCTCTGCTGGCATCCGCTCGCCCATTCCTATGGGTGTTCAGGCCTGGGTTGACAACCAAGCTCCCCACTGCGTTCACGGATCTCTTGCCACATCATGAGAGGAGTAAGGTGGTGGAGTGGGCACCGCAGGAGTGTGTGCTTGCACACCCTGCAATTGGGTGTTTCTTGACGCATTGCTGGTGGAACTCGACATTGGAAGGCATCCGCAATGGTGTGCCTTTGCTTTGTTGGCCCTACTTTACCGACCAGTTCACGAACCAAACATATATTTGTGATATTTGGAGGGTGGGCCTAAGGGTGATGCCCAAGGGCAATGATGGCATTGTCACCAAAGAGAGAATCTTGGAGAGATTGGAGAGCCTATTGGGTGATAGTGGTGTCAAGGAAAGGGTGAAAAGATTAAAGGATTTGGCAGAGAAGAGCATGAGGGAAGAGGGACAATCTTTGAGGAACCTCAACGCCTTCATAGAATCTATGAGAAAGTGAGTTTATAGCATTATGGTTTGTTTGTTTTTTTGGAAAGAAACTATTGCCTAGACGTTCAATGGCAATAGATAACAAGAAATATGAAAAGAAAATATCTCAGTACTATCAATTCTAAAAGAAAAAAAAACGACAGGAAAGTAAAGAAATTTAGAAGCCAAAGTTAGCTATTCATCTCCTTGACGAAGTTTAGCACTTTTGCGATCGATTTTAGTTTCTTTGACAAAACTTTAGTTAAATAGTCATCGCGTAATCCACTGGTTATGATATTTATTTTATATCCAACAAATAATGTGAATCGAGAGTTCGACCATCTTATTTTTCTAGGAAAGGGGCGCCCCTACTAAGCATTTATTAAAAGAAACAATACACAAACAGTTTAAGCCAGAGGGATTAAAAGGGGGATTCAAGAAACAAAAAGGAAATAAAGAAAATGGCCCAAGCTAGAGAGGTTAAACTATGGCTAGAGAGTTTAATTAAGCCACTGTCACATGGAGAGCAAGCATGAGGTTAAACTATGTCCAGGTATAAATAGCCCTCGTGGCCTCGTTGGATGATCTGGTTGCGTCGCATGGAGAGCAAGCATGACAGTGGCTGCTCGACGTACTATGGATAGCGATGCATGAGTCTACAACGAGGAATTCCAGAGTGAGTGGCTAATTAAGACCGGTTCAACCTCATTAACCTCACTTGATCAACGTAGTAATACCATATCTCCTACAACTACGGCGCAATCGTCCAACGGCAGAACGAAACCCACCGCGACAAATTCGGGGGTTCCCAGGCTTCCCTCGATACCGGGCCCACCGGATCCACCCGCTCGCGTCGCCTTTACGAAAAAGCCTTCGCCTTCGCCAGCCGTCTTCCTCCTCCTTCTAACTTTTCGCCTCCGCCGTCGCCGTCGCCGTCGCCGTCGCAGTCCTGCTCAGCGCGCGAGGTGCTGGTGGACTATAACGGCGAGGATGGCAGCCGTCAAGGCAACGCCGCTCGGCATCTGCCGCTGTCCACCTCGCATCGAGCACCCTTCCCCATCCACTCTTAAGTCTCCTCTAATCCTCCGGCGCCTCATTAATTTTTCTCCAGCATCTTAACGCCACTTTGCTGAATAAAAAAATTCAAAAGCGGTAGACCACCTGCTGCGAGCGGCTCTACGGCTTGTAGATCTCAGTTTTTTGGCTTGGGATTTATAATTTTCATATAAAAATTATTTTATTTAATTCCCGCATGGTAATATATATATAATTTTTCTAAGATATATTAATCATATCAAAATATTTTTTTCCATGAATGAAATGAAAATAATTTTATATGGAAAATTATAATCTCAATGAGATCTAACAACTTTCATATTTTTAAGTTTTTTTGTGAACTTGAAGTCGTTTAAGATGCTTTGACAAAAAAAGTTAATAACAATGCTTATGATTTTTTGATATTGTCCACTACTTGTCACTTTATCATATGTATAATTGAAGGACTGCATAAGTTTAAGGTGAGTTTCAAAGTCTCTGTAACTACACTTGATGCTCTAATAATTTCCATGAAAAAATTACTAAACACCACTTGCTTCCTAAATGCTATCGATGATGTTTCTGTAGTTTAGGCAGAAACAATATTTTTGGAACAACACCAAATACTAGGCACATCAGTATATTAGAATAATCCACATCCTCAACTCTTTTGTTTTGTATAAAAAAGATTTAAAATCTTCCAGCGGTACGATCTTTTTTAACGCCACACGAGCAATTGTCTCGACAAATTACCGTCGGGCGTTCCCAGGCTTCCCTCGATACCGGGCCCACCCGGAGGCTTTCCGGACGCGCCGCTGCCCCTCGCGGCCTCGCCTGCGCACTCGCACTCGCACACGCCCTCGCCTTCGCCTTCGCCTTCGCCAGCCGTCCTCCTCCTTGCGCGCCGCACTTGGCTCGCCTCCGCCGTCGCCGTCGCCGTCGCAGTCCTGCTCAGCGCGCGAGGTGCTGGTGGGCCTCGGCGAGGACGGCAGCGTCAAGGCAACGCCGCTCGGCATCTGCCGCTGTCCACCTCGCATCGCGCACCCTTCCCCATCCACTGCCGCCACGCCATCTCCTCTACATCCTCCGGCGCCTCACCTCAAGTCCTCCCCGTCCATCCCGCCGTCTCTCCACCCGCCCGCCCAACGCCACCGGCTGCTGAAACGCTGGTCGCAGGTGCCCGGGTCGCCGCCGGCCCCCGTGCGGTAGCGGTGGCAGGAGGAGCTCGCACCACCTACTGCGAGCGGCTCTACGGCTAGGCCATCAGCCGTTTGTGAAATGGGATGTCAGGGTCGTCGCCGGCGCGAACCTGATTTTGGCTTCGAGCTCGACATGGACGACGCCTGCCATGTGTTCGATGAAATGCCCGCATGGTAATTTTTTTTGCCTCTCTTTTTTTGTTGGTTTGTTCAAGTGTTCCATAAACTCTTCTGTATTTAGGCGTTGGTGTCCTCTTTGTCCATGGCACTGCTGGTTGGCAGGTGGTTAAAATCGACTGTTCGTAACTATGGAGAACATGGCAGCTGCATGGAAAGGTTTCCTTGCTCTTCGAATTGTTTCTGTGTATTTTAACGTAGTTCAACATATATATATTGTCAGTTGTGAACTTGAGACATGTTTACAGTGCTTTGACAGAGCCTGTTAACAAAGTTCAGCATTTTTTCGAGTAATGCTTATGTATTTTGGTGATAATTGTCCACTACCTGTCACTTTATCAATGTGTGTATAATTGAAGGACTGCATAAGGTATTAAGGTGAGGATTTCGGGAAGTCTCTGTAACTACACTTTTTGCTCTAACAATTTCCATGTATTCCTTCTGATTCTATCGATCGCTACCCTTTGCTTCCTGTGATGCTATTTGATGATGTGTGTATCTGTAGTTTAGGCAGAAACAATGGAATGATGGAGCAACTGTTATCCAAATACTAGGCTTACATCAGTATATTAGGAGTATCAGTGACAGATTTCTAAACATCCTTAACTCTTTTGCTTTGTATAGAAAAAAGATTTAAAAGCATCTTTTGGTGGCAGCTTGGTACGGTTGAGCTTGAAGGACGTCAGGTGGAGATAAGATCAAGGGCACTTATAAGATGTCTCATTTTGTGTTTCAGTGATTGCCGATCCAGGTGTTACATTCATAGCTGATCCCAAGAAAACAGGAGTCGACCATTTGTTGGTGCATGCTGCCACCATCAGTTTGCTGCTGAGGAAGGCAAGGGCTAAACAACATGTCTGCAATATCTCTGATGCCCTAACCTTCCTGAGGGATAATATATATTTTTTCCCTTTTTTCTCTCACGATCCATGTTAACTTCTTAGGAAAGGTTTTGCATGCAGAAGAAAGCCACCCATATGCAGAGGATCTGTGGAAATCAGTAAAGATAAACAAGTTAACATTTCGAGGTGTGAAGTTGTGTGGCTGTTGCAAGGTAAAAATACAGGCTATGGTACAGTGGCTGTCAGTCTCATAGCCGTGAAGTTAATTTGTTCCTGTGTTCACAACTTTTGTTTCCACCTTGTCTGCCAATAGTGTTTCCTCAATCTAGAAATATGAGTCCAGGAATGGCTTGTGCGCCTGCCCAATATGATGTCCACAAACAAATAAAGCTACAGTCCTGCCCTTATTAAAACTGTTTTTAATTAGAGATACCAGTCTAGGAATGGCCCGTTGGCCTACTAGCTACAGTGTGATGCCTTCTATATGCATTATGCTTATGCGTAAACAAAATGTACCAATTCTAGGAATGGCCCGTTGGCCTGCTGATTTTTTTAATACTCACCCTTCTGCTATATGTAAGCCTGTAAGGTGACTCACGCTGTTCCACATGCTAGAAGAATCTCCACGTAGTCAATTGAGTTTCCTTGGGGAATAATTAAATGTGATCCTAAGTACTTTGGAATCATGATCATGTACCTTTCCCAGATTCAGTTCTTGCTGGCTATTGATTGTCAAACACTATTGACCTCATGTTTCGTGGTGCAGCTCGCCAACTCAGGTAGCTCTTGGTATTCAAGTTTCTGCTTGCCGTTTCAGCCGCTCTTTTATTTTCCAAGATACTGGCAGTGGTAGCAAGCTTAATCTACAGTTAGAGATGGAAAATGAAACATGATAAGTCACGCACATTATCCATTGATGTGCACTCACAATATCCCTCCAACCAACATTATTATTTATTTATGTGCCAAGAATTTCATATGTTAGGATGTGGTGCTTGAGAAAGTTTCCTATGTTAGCGTGTGCAGAACAAGACCATATTGGTCAAACAAATATTTTTATGGATGTGCCTAAAATTTCTTTTCTCGTATCTGTGTATGTTTCATAAAATCCATTTTTGAGGCCTTCTTTTTTGTATTTTTTTGGGAAGTTAGGATCCATTTATTTGCTCCAGAGATTGGTTTTGCTTCAAATTGGCTTGTAGTCGGATTCGATTTATGTCCTGTTCTATTTTGTTTTTAGTTCAGAGTTCTCAATACATGATTGCTTGCAGGGAAATCAAAGCTAGAAAGAAGCCATCATAGCAGGGATTCTGGAAGGTGTGGCCTTCCTATTTCTTGTTGGTCTATCGACTTATAGATATGGTGTTCTAGAAAACCAAATCCTCGGAGAACACTTGTCAGATGCAAAGTAATTTTTCACATGACATTTGTTTCATTCACGAGAACACTACCCAGTGCTTGCTTTATCACTGATGGTTATCAATCATATTATTGTCATGGTCATTAATGTGGCTAGAAACAGATTATGCTAAGATTACGAAGATTGTAATATTTGTTCTACTTCCCAGCGAGAGTGTTAATAGTATTTCAAAAAGGAAAAAGTGTCATGGCTTTGTTTCCGTTCAACTTATTCTTGTAAAAGTGGACACCAATATTTCAGTTGTCTGCTCAGCTATCAAATATGATAGGTGTAATGAACCAATCAACCAAAGTTGGTTTCCCATGGGCTCTCTTGAAAAAAGGGGCACCATTTCTCAGGTCATGCATATCTCTTCTCGAATGCACTGTGAATCTTGCATGTTGTTTGCCGTGCTGAATGAGTGTTCTTTGTTGTTGTTGAAAATTTTGTCTTCCGTTGCAACGCACGGTCATTTACCTGGTAGGATAAAAAAAACTAAAAGGTGCACACAGTACTCTAGTTCGAGCTTGTCCGTCTCCTCCCTTCCTGCAACTGCAGATGAGACACTCCATGCTTCGCTAGTTCTCTTGAAGCCTTGCAACAATGACGTACAACTTTCCAAAACAAAAGTAACAATGACGTACGCAATTATGTCGGCCAAGCCGTAGCCGCCTGCAAGTGTTGCAATTTGCAAAGCCGTCTGCTTTGACCGGACGCCCCTGCACCACACTATATCATGCAGCATCGTAGAGACGTGCAGACGGACACGCTCACACAAGAATCCCGGGCAGTGCAGTGCCTGCTTTGATCGCCATCTCCCGGGCGCACGAAAAGATGGCCGCCGCCGACGACGCCCGCACGGCGGCGCCGCACCCGCACGCGCTCCTGCTCCCGTACCCGGCGCAGGGCCACGTGATCCCGTTCATGGAGCTGGCCGACCGCCTCCTCGACCGCGGCTTCGCCGTCACCTTCGTCAACACCGAGTTCAACCACCGCCGCGTCGTCGTGGCCGCCGCCGGCCGAGCGCTCGGAGCCGCCGCGGCCGCGGCTTGCGACGGCCGGCTGCGGCTCGTGGGCGTCGCAGACGGGATGGGCTACGGCGAGGACCGCGACAACCTCGTCCGCCTCAACGCCTGTATGCAGGAGGCCATGCCGCCGCGGCTCGACGCGCTCCTCGACGCCGACGACGAGCGCCTCGGCAGGGTGACGTGCGTCGTGGTCGACGCCGGCATGTCGTGGGCGCTGGACGCGGTCAAGCGGCGTGGGCTCCCGGCAGCCGCCCTCTGGCCCGCGTCGGCGGCCGTGCTCGCCGTGCTCCTGGGCGCCAAGAAGCTCATTCGCGATGGCGTCATCGATGACGACGGTGAGTCCTCATACTCATTAATTAATGGCCACCTACAGGCTACAAGTTATGGGCTTTATCATGGCCAGAACTGTACGTGCACATGACGTTGACTTCGTTCTTGAGCTGAAAAATGATGTGCGTGCGTGCAGGAGCTCCAGTTAAACTGGAGAACAACTCGTTCCGGCTGGCCGAGTCGATGCCGGCTATGGACGCCGTGTTCCTCGCCTGGAACTACATGGGCAACCGCGACGCGGAGCGCATGGTCTTCCACTACCTCACCACCACGGCGTGGGCCGCTGTCGCCAAGGCGGACGTCGTCCTCTGCAACACCTTCGCGGACCTCGAGCCAGACATCTTCGGGCCCCACTCTCCGGCGGCCACCACCATCCTCCCGATCGGCCCGCTGCGCACCTGGCAGCGCCGGACGAGCGAGGCGCCGGCCGGGCACTTCTGGCGCGCCGACGACGAGGCCTGCTTGTCCTTCCTCAACGCGCAGGCCCATGGCTCCGTGGCGTACGTGGCGTTCGGGAGCCTGACGGTCATGAGCCCCGCACAGCTCCAGGAGCTCGCGCTGGCTCTGCTGGCCTCCGGCCGCCCGTTCCTGTGGGTGTTCCGGCCAGGGCTGGCGGCCGAGCTCCCCGCCGCGTTCATGGATCTCTTGCCACGCCATGGGAGGGGTAAGGTGGTGGAGTGGGCGCCGCAGGAGAAAGTGCTCGCGCACCCTGCGGTCGGGTGTTTCTTGACGCATTGCGGGTGGAACTCGACGTTGGAGGGCGTCCGCCATGGCGTGCCTTTGCTTTGTTGGCCCTACTTCACTGACCAGTTCACGAACCAGGCCTATATCTGTGATATGTGGAGGGTGGGGTTAAGGATAGTGCCCAATGATAGTGATGGCATTGTCACCAAGGAGAGAATCATGGAGAGATTGGAGAGCCTGATGTGTGATAGTGGTGTTAAGGAAAGGATGAAAAGATTGAAGGATTTGGCAGAGAGAAGCATGGGGACAGAGGGCCAATCTTTGAAGAACCTCGGGACAGAGGGTCAATCTTTGAAGAACCTCAACACCTTCATGGAGTCTATGAGGAAGTGATTGTCATGTTATAGTTTATTTTCAGGAATAACTACCCGTGATGTCCAAGGCATGTTTCAGCATTATATACGACATATGAAAAATATCTTCAACAACTATTAAAATACAGTCCGCAATATCAAGAAATATGAAATATAATATCGCAATACCTTTAATTCTAGAGGAAAAAAATTCCCACATGAAACTAATGTAGCATCCTTCATCATAGATTAATCAATGAAAAAGGTACATCAACATCTGCAATATTACACAGTAGAAACGTAGAAGTCATCACATGATTCAGGACTAAAGTACATTGATGGTACAATATTAAACAATATTACACATTACAATACTCAATGAAATTAAAGTAGCATCCTTCATAGAATAATCAATGAAAAAGGTACATCAACGAATGAATGACTAAGCGGACATATCTCAAGATTATTAAAATTATCATTGACGTTGTATTATTAAAATCTAAAATAATAAATTAATAAAAACAAGAACACACACATCTGATCGAGAATTTGAATGCAGATGGACAAGTTTAGCAAAAGGAAAGCAAACAGAGTTCTCAATCAAAATCAACACATAAAAACAAAAAAGTTATAGAGAGCAAATAAAGAGAGACATTATAGGAGTACTTGTTAAAGTCACAATTTTATGGTGCAGTATTATGACTTTATGATCTTCATTTTTCTTCGATGATTCTATTGAACAGAATATATAATTTTAGGATTCTAATAACTATGATCTACGATTTATGATCATAACTTTGGAGTTTTGATCTGATTTAGGATGACAATTAATTTTAATAACCTTTGGTTGGCACTCGTTCGGATAAGATCATAGCTAATTGCACCCTGCCACGAAGGGAAACCAAACCAAAATCTCTGGCCCAGGCTACGCAAAGAGTAATCACAGGTCAAACCTTCCAACCAAGGGATGTCCAGTCCTGACCCTCGTGGTGGGTCAGCTTCCTCCAACCTCCAACCGGGCGGGCCACTGGACCAGCGACACATCCGGGGAGAAGAAAGCTCGGAAGATCCGAACAACGCTGACGGCGAGGCCGTAACCGCATAGCAGCGGTTATTGGGATCTCCTGCTCCTGCTCCTGGATGCAGGCACTTTTGAACTCCAGCAGCATGAGGTAAGCTGCAGATTCTTCCTTCTAGCCTAGAAAGAGAAGAGATGGATCATTTCTTCCGGCTTTCTGGGCGATTCGTTCGTTTCATGGGTTCCCGGCCCAGTTATTTTGCCCAAAAGAATCGCCTTGCTTGTTGCAGCTACGCTCAGTGCGTCCTTTGCCTGGGGATCCGAATCTAGCGTCTCAAGGGGCGTCGAGTTCGTCGTGTTAACCCCCTCTTGATTCAGGTCAAAGGAGGGATTTTTTTTTTCTGGGGAGAGTTGACTCAGGGTGGTATGGAGCTGGATTGTTCCGCCACTCAGCCTCGATTGGATTGGAGGATTCCTTAGCCTGTCAACACAACACACGGATGCGTTTTAGCAATGCCTTTGGCTGCCATATATATTCAGGGAATATTCTTGCTCATGCTGCGCTTGAACTTGAAAGATTAAATCGAATTTGAAAAGTATTTCTCCCTGAATGGAATAGTTGAAAGGGGGAAGTGAGGGCTGTACAATGATCTTGAGACAGAAAGGTGCCAATGTGGTCGCTAGGACACCGTTATAATGTTTAGAGAGATTCTGAACTGATGCTGGTTAGACCTCAAGATAGATCCCCTTGAGCAACGAGGAGTGCTTACGTTCCAACGAAACCAAAAGTTACATCAATTCTGGAGCACCTGTGAGGCTCCCATCTGTTTACTAGAAGCAGCTTCTAACTGTCTAACTGTGGATTGGAGTTGATACTGGGTGCATACCCTTTTTCTTCTTCTGAAAGAGGAGTGTAGTAGGAATATTTCCAATCCTTCCACCGGTCTATGTTCCTTTTGGATGTTGTTAGCTCAATCTCATATCACAAGCAGATTGGCTATTGATATTTTTATGTGGAAGTTTGACACATACTGGAGGGAACTGGGAACTGGTAACTGGTACGAACGAAAATTGCCAAAATTTTCGAGACTGAAATTTTGACTAAAATTTGAAAATCTGAACAAATCTCATCCGAATGAAATACAAAATTACTGGTAGGACCGAAATCGCCGAAGATCATGAAATTTTAGCTGAAATTCTGACCCATGGTCCTGGTTGAAAATTCTATCACTGGCCACTAGGTTAACTTTCATGCACCTAGCTCATTAATTACTTCCTCTTGTAGAAGTGGCGTTTGGACATGGACATATTCCCCAAGACATACTTTGACCACCTTTGATTCATGGTTCATCTACTAAACCATACATTTAAAACCAGATAACATCATGATGTCATAAAACTCTTTCAGGAGATGGTATCATAGGTCACATTTAAAAAGGTGGTTTCTACCCCAAACATTGCCTTTATCTTTACTGGAGATATACCTAAGTTTCAGTTGATTAGAATGTAACTAATATACTTTTTCTTTACTGGAGATATACCTAAGTTTCAGTCAAAGGTACTAGATTAGAATGTAACTAACATATCATTAGAAATCTTTTATTGCTTCACAATTTCAACAGAAAAGTTATGAACCACTGTTGCCATTCTCTAGCAATTTTCAGTATATCTTTTGTGTCATATTTGTGGTCTTGTATTTCAGTGCATGAATTAGGTTCAAAACAAGGGAATAAATTAAAGTATGCCAGTGGCTCGTATGGTCACCATCTTGTGTGGTATGAGTGTAACATAATTCGTTAGGAACATACAATTTCACTACCAATGCAACTTTCTGGCAGCTCTTACCCTAAAAATCACACTCTGGAATTTAGAACTCCCTAGATCAATATAGATACATGCCAATGAGTGAAATTATGTTATATTGGTTTGACTGATTAGATTGAAACAATTTTTGTGACACAAAAGTATCACAGGATTCATGTGCATTCTGTGACTTTCTGAAATAGAAGGGCACTTACCCTCCTTTTCTTGTGAAATCGTGCTCTAATATCTTCTCCTTGTTTCAGGTCAAAGAAGATATTTGGTTTATCCATTTCCCTTGTACTCATCAACCTAGCTTCTATATTGGAACGAGCTGATGAGAATCTCCTCCCAGCTGTTTACAAGGAAGTCAGTGCTGCTTTCGATGCTGGTCCTACTGATCTGGGGTACCTTACATTTCTGATGAACTTTCTGAAGTCCATAGCATCTCCCTTGGCAGGTGTCCTTGCTCTCTACTATGACCGCCCTGCAGTTCTTGCGATAGGGACTGCGTTCTGGGCTTTGTCAACAGGGGCTGTTGGTGTCAGCCAGTATTTTGGGCAGGTTGCATTCTGGAGAGCTGTTAATGGTGTTGGGCTTGCCATTGTAATACCAGCACTTCAATCCTTCATTGCTGATAGTTACAAAGATGGCACACGCGGAGCGGGATTTGGTTTGCTAGCACTTATTGGTTCAGTAGGTGGTATAGGAGGTAGTGTTTTGGCAACAATCGTGGCTGGAGGGGATTATTATGGTTTTCCAGGATGGCGGCTTGCATTTATATCTGTTGCATTTGTGAGCTTCTTAATTGGACTTCTTGTATACCTTTACTCTGTTGATCCTAGGAAAATATCTCCAAGCCATTTTGGCGGTGATGAGGACAATGAGAGGTATGGTCTTCTGATTTTAGGGAAAAAAATCTTGACTTGCCTATTCCTATTTTAAAAGATAAATTACAGAGTTTTATGAGGAAGACATAGTAGTATTACTGCATTTTCTTCTTATCAGCTATAAAAGTTTCATCTGAGTGAAAGATTTATGAAAGTATGTTTTTTATTCTAGCTGATCTCGCTGACAACAATATATAATATGTGGGCTTTAACATTTAACCTTGTACCACCGGAATTGTATATTTGCGTATCATTGTAATAATACAATCTTATATAAATGGCAGGTTACATTTGGTCAGCAATGGTATCCTTCCTCCACATTCCATCTGGAAGGATTCATGGATAGCGGCGAGATCCGTAATGAAAGTGCGGACGTTTCAAATCATTGTGTTGCAAGGCATTGTTGGCTCTTTACCATGGGCTGCTGTGGTTTTCTTCACCATGTGGTTTGAACTCATTGGTACGGAGGCATTGGAATCTTTTCAATACTTCAATCGATTAGTATCCCTTTAGTTGAACATTTGCACTCTTCAACTCTTATAGGTTTTGACAACAGCAGCTCAGCGGCGCTGAATAGCTTTTTCGCTATTGGGTGCGCCATTGGATCATTTCTAGGTGGTGTGATAGCAGATCGCTTGTCTAGATACTATCCAGATTCTGCTCGCATCATGTGCGCTCAGTTTAGCGCCTTCATGGGCATCCCTTTCTCATGGATCCTCCTTACAGTCATTCCCCAGTCTGTTGATTACTGGTCTGCCTATGCTGTCACACTCTTTTTAATGGGCATTACCATAAGCTGGTGCGCTACTTGTGCAAACAACCCCATGTTCGCAGAGGTAGTCCCTCCCAAGCACCGCACAATGATCTACGCCTTTGACCGCGCATTTGAGGGTTCGTTTGGCTCACTTGCTGCACCTGCTGTTGGCATAGTGACCGAAAAGATCTATGGCTACAATGCGAAGGCTGTTGATCTAGCGCATGGATCAGTGGACGGAGCTTATGCACTCTCGAGAGGTCTATTGACTATGATGATTGTCCCTTTTGCTCTGTGCCTCATGTTCTACACCCCACTGTATACAGTGTTCAAGCGTGACCGAGAAAATGTTAGATTGGCCAGCATCAAGGAACAGGAGCTTATATGAAAAGCTTTCTGGCGAGGAGTACTGATGTGGTTTTTGATTTGGCTGACATCTGTTTGTAGTCTGGATTATTAATATTTACAACACCACCAACCCAGAAGTTTTGATTGAAGTACTTTGGTTGATGTCTAGGATACTCAGGTTTTATGTTTCTTCAGTCAGATATCATACAAGAGTACACATTTTGTACACAGGTGATAGATTGGTTGACCTCATCGTTCACAATGTAACTGGTTCAGTATATGGATACAGTTCTTTCACATGTTATCACTATACTTGTTTTAAACTGCCTGAACAATCACGCCAGTCCAATGCTGATGTCATTAGCAGAATTCTTGTACCAGATTCAGTTTATCAATATAAGATCAACACTTTTCTGACAGTGTGCATGTGTTCAGCACAGTCAACTGCTGAAAACTTTGAATTATTTTGCCTCGGCAGTCCTCTAATTCCTGTAATTCAAATTACCTCTCTGAAGTCTGATTTATCTGCAGTCTATATCAGATGAGCTACGGACGCAAGTTAACGAATCACCAGCATCCAGAAATTACACGTCCGGGGACGAATCAAAGGCTTGGAAATTGGAATCGGATAGAGGAATTTTCTGTTCTGATGAGAAGCCATAAAGAATCCTGCTGTACGAAAATTTCTATGAATTTTAAGGTTAATCCAGAATTTAGGATTTTTAATTATATCATTTTTCTGTGTAAAAGTATTTGGATAATTTTTTGAAAATTTGTATATGCACATATTTTTAAAATTACTCCTATTTACTTCTCTACTAAACTTTTAACTAGTGTCAGCAAAAATCGCCTTCTTAGCTAGCTTCAGCAAAAATCGCCGTCAAAAATTAAAGTTTATATGAAAAAGTCTCGAGTAACCCCTCAAGCGGTTTTGGATGGTGATTTTGCTACAGTGACCGTAGTTTTGTCTTTTTCTTTCTTATTTATTTGCACTGAATCTTTGAAAAATCATAAAATAGAAAATCTAATTTTTTTGGACTCTACATGAGTAGATCTACACAATAAACATATAATATGGTATGCTTTAGTACAAAGTTTTTGGTTGTAGCTTTAGATCTATATTTTTTGTAATTAATTGAAATAATTCATAGCTGCGGCTTCTATGGTGTAATTGTGGTGAAATTTTTATGGTGAGCTAATTATTATATGCTTGAACTGTAGTAAAAATTTCATACTTATTGGATCATGTATAATTTAGTTATAAATACATGATCCAATGAGTATGAAATTTTTACTATAATTCAAGCATACAATAATTAGCTAACCATAAAAATTTCAGCACAATTAGACCATAAAAGTTGCAGCTATAAATTATTCTATTTAATTACAGAAAAACATAGATATAAAGCTACGTAAAAAACTTTGTACTAAAGAATACCATATTATATGTTCATCGTGTAGATCTATTCATGTGGAGTCCAACAAAATTAGATTTTCTATTTTACAAAAATTCAGCGGAAATAAATAAAAAAGAAAAAGATAAAACTAACGTCACTGTAGCAAAACCACTGTCCAAAACCGTTCGGGGGTTATTTGACCGGTTTTGAAAAGTTCAAGGGATAGAAAATTTAGTTTTATAGTTTAGAGGTGAAGTAGTCCACCGTAAATAGTTAAGAGAGTTATGTATTTTTTTCCAAATTTATAGGGGATCAAAAAGTAAACAGAATAAAACCCCTCGCGCCCCCTATCGAGGGAAATTTAAATATTTGCCATCGTTTGCCACTTTTTCATATGCCAGCTTTAGAATGACAATTAAACATTTGCCACGGAACAGTTTTCGAAGCTTCATTTTTGCCACTCTTGACGTCGTGCCAGCTAGAATCGGGCTACGGAAAAGACATTGTTGCCCCTGGCGCTGTATCCTCTCGTGTGGGGCCCACTTGTCACCACCTTCCTCCTGCTCCCACCTTCCATCCATGGCTGTCGTGAGATGCTGGCATGGTGCTCCAGCGACCGTGGAGGGCTAGCGGACGGCGGAGGAGGTCGAGGGTGGCCCTGCAAACACACCGAGGGTGCCTTCGCCAGTGAGAGCGGATCAGGTGAGGCCGGCATCGATGAGGATGGCCCAAGGTCCGCCGGCGTCCGTGGGAGACGAGGTTTCCAACTCAGGTTGGCCACGAGATGTAGCGAGATGGCCTCCTCATGTGCTTGCGAAGCCGATGGAAGCAGCGGAAGGGCGCAAGATGGCTTGTGCGAGGAGATCGACGAGCTCGGGTCGACCCCGGCAATGGCGGCGGCGGTGCTTGGTGGAGGCGCTGGAGCAAGGAGGGCAGCTCGGGAAGGGGCGAGGTGGATGCGGCGTGCGCACGCGGGGCTCTAGGGTGGCTTTTATGGGGCAAGGGGCGACGGGGGAGGGCCAGGTCGTAGAGCTTGGGCGGCGGGGATGGCGCTGATGTGCGGCAACCGCGCAAGCCGAGGCCATCGCCGCCGAGCTCTCGACCCAGCCCCACCCTTCTGCGCCCACCGCTGCCCAGTCAGCTTCGCGCGAAGCCGAGCACCACCCGAAGGACGTCTGCCCGCGCTAACGGCAACCGGTCGCCGGAGGCCATCCTCGACTTGCGCCGCCGCAGCGCCTGCACCCAAACTTGCGCCAGGGCAGAGCACCGCGCGCAACCACTGCCACCTCTGTCGTCGGCCCAGACTGCCTCACCGCGTCTCCCTCTACTCGCGCCTCTACTCCCTCTACAACGCCGACAGCCTGCGCCATGGACGGAAGGTGGGAGCGGGAGGAAGGTGATGACAAGTGGGCCCCGCGTGAGAGGATACAGCGCCAGGGGCAACAATGTCTTTTCCGCAAGCCGATCCACGCTGGCAGGATTTTTTTCTCCAAGTTTACATGACATCGAAAAGTAAACAGAACAAAACCCCTCGCGCTCCCCTATCCGGTCATGAATCGTCATCCCTGTCGAAACCTCGTCCGCCGGTTCCCGTCGCCATGGTGGTCGTGGTGGCGCCCTCCCCCCTCTGCTCCTTCCTGCCCGCGCACCCGTTCGGCCCCGCGCGCCCTCGCCGTCCAATGAACCCGACCGCCAAACCCCTCTCACTTACCCTCACCATCCGCTGCGCCGCCACAACCGCGGCGGGGCGGCCGGGACCCCCGCCGCTGCCACCACCGAAGCTGGTCCGCTGCGCTGCTCTCGACCGCCAGGCGGCGCGCGCAAGCCGCCTCCGCTTCGCGCGCAAGCTCCTCACCCTCCTCCTCTCCAAGCCGCGCCATTTCCTCCCGCTCCGCGTGCTCAACCGCTGCCGCCGCTTCCTCGGCCTCCCGCGCCGCGGCCGCCCGCTCATCCCCATGGTCCTCCGCTACCCGGCCCTCTTCCGTCTCTTCCAGGCCCATACCTCCCTCCCGCTCTCCCCGTCCTTCTCCACCCTCGCGGTCGCGCTCACCCCCGCCGCCGAGGCGCTCGCCGCCGACCTCGCCGCGCTCCGAGCCACCAGCACAGGCGCAGGCGCGCTCGCGGACAAGGTCCACCGCCTCCTCCTTATGACCCCGCGCCGAAGCATTCCGGTGAACAGGCTCGTCCACCTCGCCCCCGACCTCGGCCTCGCCATGGACTTCCGCGCGACGCTTTGCCCCCGCCACCCGGATCTCTTCAGACTCGTGAACACCTCCCGCGGCCACGCACTCCAGCTCGCCGATCCCCCGCCAACGCCGCCTCCGCCGCTCCTTTCTCTTCGCCCCGCCGCGACGCCCGACCGCCTCATGGACCGACCGCGGAGGTTTCCGCACCTCCCGCTCCGCCGCGGGCTTAACCTCCGCCGCGCGCACAGGGACTACCTCCTGCGGTTCCATAGCCTTCCCGAGGTGTCCCCGTTCGAGTCGCTGGATGAGGGCGCTAGTCTGGAGATGTTGGAGCGGCGGGCGTGTGCCGTGGTGCGGGAGGTGCTGGCCATGACGGTGGAGAAGCGGACGCTGGTGGATCACCTCACGCACTTCAGGAAAGACTTTGGGTTGCCAAACCGGCTGCGCGCCATGCTGGTGCGACATCCAGAGCTGTTCTATGTCAGTGTGAAGGGGGTGCGGCACTCGGTGTTCCTTGTGGAGGCGTTTGATGATGATGGGAGGCTCCTAGTGGAGGATGAGATGCTGGTTGGGAGGGATAGACTGGAGGAGCTTGTTCGGGAGGGAAAGCGGATGAGGCGTGCTCGGAAGAAAGGCGTTCTCACGTTTGATGGTGACAGTGATGAGGATGAAGATGATGAGGCAGCAGAAATGGAAGGTTCATTAGAGGTGGATGATGAGTTTGGGGACTTGTTTGAGGATGGTGTCATTGGGGAGGATTGGGAGGAGGTAGGTGGAGGTGGAAGTGAGGCATATGAAGAGTACGATGCTGAATCGGGTGAGATGGAGGAGTTTTGGGTCAAGAAGGCTGTGGCTCAAGGACTGGTTGACGATGGTAATGAGCAGGATGTTTGGTGAGTGCATCAGCTTGTGAGACTTTGCTCAGGAAGTTAACGAAGATTGAGAATTCCTCAAGTGTGCTTTCTCGGCAATGCACAAAAACCAGTAAGCATCAGTACATATCCGGGTATCTTGGACCTCTTGGTCCCATTTGCTGCCTGTCTGTTGCTACTTGCAAGGTATGAATGTATACACTGCTCATTTGATTCCAGCTTTGCATGCTTATTTTCTACTTGCACGATAAACATGTTGCTAATTAATAGGATTATAGAGAGGGGGTATATGCAAAGGTTGAAAAGTTTTGTTGAATAGCTTGGTTCGTAGTTTTAGGCTGCTGCTCTATAGAAGTAGGTTGAATATGGATGCTTGATCTTCTGTTAAATAACAATATGAAATCTAAAAGCTCCCAAGTAACTTACATATTTGTGTGCTGCCTTGTTTTCTTCTCATTGCGCAGACAATGATTTTGCTCTGCCAGCCACCTAGCCTGCCTTGATTGCATGGGTAGACACCTCTTATTTGTATCCAGGCTCCCGGTTGGCACTTCCTCATCTTGCTCCAGCAACAAAAAATGAATAGAAAATTAAAAAAAAACACAAACACTGAATCGCGTTGAATCTATGCTTAATCTTCCTAGGCGCTAGTCAGTGGCCTAGGGCCTAATGCTTTTTGGAACTTTGGGAAGACACAGATGAAGTGGCATTGTTAGCCTCTGTTACTTTGTTCTGGAGAGGAGCTAGATGGACATTCGCGATGTCCAGGACGCGCTTCCTCCTGGGCACTGTTTCTGCTTCGATGCTTATGTGCGACTTTAAAGGTTTCCCACCTTGTATAGCATTAAACCCACTTTTGATTTTTGAACTCTAATCCTTTGATCAACATAGTTGGCTTCTATAACCAAATCACAGTACATTTGGCTTCTATAACCATCAGGCTAAATCAGTCTATACTTTATTCTTGCAACCTCTACTATAACCCAAAATAATGCATGTTACAATTTTCAATTAATAATTCTCTTAAAAATTCACAGTACATAATGAGCATTGCAATTGTAACGATCACAGGTGTGTTGTGAACTCTTTTTTTTTTTTGCGATTGCAACTGTTCTTTCTGTTGTTACCTGAACGCATTGTAGTTTTTTTTAATGTGGAATCGTGTTATAGTTTGTGTTACGTACTACTATTAACAATGGTCTGTTTCTTTTTCCTGTTCATGGTACCATTGACTTCAGAGCTTGGATCTTGCTTGTATATCTAAGCACAGTACTGCTCATTTCAATTGAGTTTCATGGATTTTTGTCTTCATTATCTTATATTTGTGATGCACCCCTACTTCCTGTGCAGGAGGCATGCTCTCTTCTTCCCAAGATCTCTAGCAAGGAAACACATCCAAAGATAGCACAAGTTCTTCTGGAACGTCACAAACCTGATATGACACTTCTTGTGCTAAAGTGTGCAGGGCGTGATAGCTTCTCTGCTACAGAAAACTTTGAAAAAGATGGCGTTTCATCTCTTAGCGAGGCAGTGACTGCGCGGTCTGTGTTAGAATTGAATGTGCCCTCCTAACAGAAGCGTTTATGTATCATAGGAGCTACTGCTCTAAAGTGAAAGAACAATGCTCAGCAGATATGACACATGCTGAGGATGCATTCAAAAGCTCTTGGATTTATCATGTTGAGGTGATGATGACTGGATTTTGTACTATCTGCATTGAAAGGAATTTAGTTGATAAAATGATTGATCTGCCCTGGGATTCTGAGGAATATAAACATCTTCACAAGTCGCTCTTTGACTCTGCTCGTGAAATGCCCATGAAACCAAATGATAGTCTGCTTTGTTGTCTACTACCTTCGGGTAAATATTCTGATTCTCCTTAGTTTTCAAATAGTAGAGTTAGACGACTGCAGTGGCTGGTTTCCAGCTTTTTTACTTTAATCCTCACCTATTCTTTCTCCTATCTGTCAATGTGGTCGGTTTACAGCCAAGCATGATTTTATTCTCTGTAGCTTCAGCAAGAAATCTTCAGTTGATGGCTGCCAGCAAAGGTGTGTCAGGTCAAGGTGGAGATTCGATGAGTCTAGTGAAGATGAAGGGAGAACAAACTAGGAGATTAGAGCTTCTTTTGCTACTCGAAGGTGACTTTCGAGACGATATATCCACATCCGCAGGGATTCTTAATTGTTTGCATGGGAGGGTTCTTTCGAATATCTCTACAGTTATACCCTAATGTAACAATAATTTGTTTTATGGGAAAAGTGTATATGCGACTATCATGCATAATTTACACTGCCATGGCCGTTGGCCGAGAGATGTACTCTAGTTGAAAGTGTAACTAAGGATTCTAGAAAACAAATGAAAAGGCAACTTTTGTACCAAGTGCATTGTACATGATGTTCAGCACATTATGTGCAAGTCCAATAGTCTGACGTCAAAAAGTTCCAGGTTCAATACAGACTTGTGTAGTTGTATGCATGATGATGAGACCATGCATTGTGGCAGAAAAACTAATATGATGGGCCTGCAATACGGCACTAATAAATTTGTGGCCTACTGACGGATTGTTGCAAAACCAGTGCGCGAGCCAGTTCGGTTGGCTGGTTCATATCGTTGCTGGTTCGTGAAGAAATACTGCTGGCTGGTTTGTGTAAGAGAAAAATACTGTTTCGGCTGGAAATTTACGATCGTTTACGACAAGACACAACCAAACGAACAGGTACTCTTTACAGATGAGAAATGAATGTTCCACTAAAAAAAAACTGATGAGAAATGATTGTGATGCTGACGCATGGGAGACTGGAACCGAACACATGAAGTTCCATTGGTCCGGCACGACCGCTGCATCATGCCGTGATTGAGAACCAGAAGTGCACATTAGCCAATGATGTGCTTCATCACCAAAGAAATCCTTTTTCATCTCACGGTAACAAGAGTACAACAAAGATCGCTATTGCACGCTCGCCGACTATGGCAGTGCGTTGCGCGCTCTTCACTTATTCAGGTTCGTTCGCTTCTGATTAAAACGGCTGTTTGGGCTATGTTTTGGCTGCATAGCCGTTCGGCATCGCAATAATCATATGGGGGTGGGCCAACACTCCCATATGATTTTTATTAAATAAACACAATCACGAATTTCGTGTAGACGTATTAAAAGTGATCACACAGTCGAGTAATCGACCCATGGTGGATGGGCAGGTGGCGGCCCGCTGGCATATTCTTTCTGTAATATAGATAGTAGGAATAGGTTGTAATAGTTTTCTTTTATCCTGTCAATTCTGTTTTAAATGTTATCCTGTATTAATAAAAAATGGTGCACAGTATACGCCAATGAGCAGGCATCTTAAAGGCCTCTCATATCGCATGGTAAAATGTGTTGGATCAGGTCAGTCTGGACGATGTTAGGGTGAATCCAGAAGCTACGCCATGGACGATAAGGACGGTCTCACAAGATTAGCAGGTTACGAGGGCTCGCGCCATGTGATTTGTCAGTGTTTATTTTGTTTTAACGGGGCTGTAATCCAGAAGCTACGCCATGGACGATAAGGACGGTCTCACAAGATTAGCAGGTTACGAGGGCTCGCGCCATGTGATTTGTCAGTGTTTATTGTTGCTGTACCTCTGTCAGGAACTCACGATAGCAAAAAATAAAAAAGGCGCCAGCTCAGTACATATATAGTACAAGTACGTAGTTTAAGAGAGAACCAGGCTACAGTAAGTACGTAATTTAGGTGGTGTTTAGATTCCGGGTGTAAAGTTATGAGGTGTCACATCGGATGTTACATGGAGTGTCGAATGGGGTGTTCGGATACCAATAAAAAAAATTACAGAATCCGTCAGTAAACCACGAGATGAATTTATTAAGCCTAATTAATCCGTCATTAGCACATGTATTACTTGAGCACTTTATTATCGAATCATGACCTGATTAGGTTTAAAAGATTCGTTTCGCAAAGTAGTCGTAATTTATATAATTAGTTATTTTTTAGTCTATATTTAATACTTTATGCATGTGTCAAACATTCCATCCGATAGGATTTAAAGTTTTTGGGAGGAACTGAACCCGGGCTTAAGAGAGGACCAGGCGACGCAGCTGGTTATTGCGCGCAGCGACACACAGCTCTGGCTAGGTTATCGCGGCTGCTGGTTTAAATTGGGGTTAGGAATCAGTATTTGGCACTGTAGATTTTCGTTTGTATTTGATAATTATTGTTCAATTATGACCTAATTAGGCTTAAAAAGATTCGTCTCGTAATTTACAATCAAACTGTATAATTAGTTATTTTTTTATCTATATTTAATACTCCATGTATATATCCAAAGATTTAATGTGATAGAGAGAGAGTGAAAAAAGTGCCATGGTCTTTAAAGACAGCCGCTCAGGCTGCTGCAACAGGCTTTTTAGTCTGCTGCAACAGTGAAGTTCAGCAGCAACAGCGCTACCATGAAGCCAAACGAACAGGTTAGCCCACACCCACACAACAAAAGGCTAGTACAATAAAATATATTACTAAAATCCAAAGGTTTGCATGAGATATTACCTCCGTCCCAGAAAGAATGTAATTATAGGTTACGTGCCACGTAAAGTGGTTCATATTTGATCAAATTTATAGTAAATAGTATTCACATTTATGACTTTAAATTAATTTATTATAAAAATACATTTTGTAATTAATCTAATAATATTTATTTGATATTATAAATATTTATACATTTTTATCTATAATTAGTCAAAGTTAAATATACTAACACGTAACACTGTTCTTGAATTGCATTCTTTTGGGACTGAGGGAGTACTTGATTACAAATCTTGAGTTAGCAATAATACAATGAGTTTTGCTCCGGTAATCTCCTTGAAAAATTTACACACATCTTAAACCAGCCAGTAATTAATTTAATTTCCCCATGGATGTAGTTTGGGTCCCGACATATGCTCCATCCAAGCCCAGCCCCAGTCTACGCAGACGTTTGTGGATCTTCGCCGTTCAGTTGCCGCATGTTGTGCGCTTGTTTGTTTCAATAGTGCTTTGCTATGATCGTGCGGATCGAGGCGATGGTTGATCCACAGGCGACAGGAGGCGCAAGTGGCGAGCGGTTTCAGTCCTGCTAATGTGAGGCGCAGGCGCAACCCGATGAAGTGTTTTCCAGAAATACACAGATGCATGCATTTTTTTCGTGAGACGCATATGTATTCATACCACGCAAGATTGAAACAAATGCCCGTTCGCTGAAAAAACAAGTTGAAATACTGTTCCAACTAATTTATTATGAGAGAAAAATATTATTTCGACTAAAAACTAAACTAAAAAAGACGGATTATACAGGACGAAAAAGGCTAGCGACAAGTGAGGCAATTTGATGGGATCCATCAGATCCATAAACATCGGCATGAACTAGGATTGGACATGGGTAGAGTCGACGGAATTAATTTAAATTAACATAAACTCTTACGTTCTATTTATATAACTTATAAACCATATTTTTTAACTAATAAATAATATTTTTCTCTCACTATATCATCAACGGTACTTTCCTTATCAACCTAAGTCGATGACATTAATCGCGACTGGTCGCGCTGCGTCGCTTTCGCGCTACAGCAGGCCGCGACGAACCAGCCCAAGTACCAATGCAATGCGGCGGGTCTTTCTCATTTTTTTTACTGATGCTCAAAGGCTCTCAACCTCCCGTACCCGCTGCTATTTTGGTAGTTTCAGTTTTATTTTTAGGAGTATTTTTTTTTCATTGGTCTACTTTAGTTTTCATTTTCTATTTGTCAATTTCAGTTTAATTTTTTAATTCTCCATGCTTGTTTCAAGCTGCCTCATGTAGTCCTGATCATAGTTATGTGGGATCATTCATTTTTTTCATTGTTTCTTTTATTTTTAGTTAAATGATTTTTTCAATGATTTTTTTATTTTTAGTTTTCAGTCAAGTTTTTTTAATATTTTTTAAGTTTGACATTTTAGTATCCTTTTATGTTCGAATGTATTCCTAAATCATACGTATTAGTTGTATAATAACTTATCCTTTAAGTTGACATCTTATGCAATGCTTCTTTTAATAATTTGCTCCTCAAGATACAACTTATCTTATTTTGCGTCCCTACTCTTGTCTTTTTTTTAATAAATGTCCCTCCAATTCTATATAACAAATTTATTATATTCTCATGGTAACAATCGATGCGCGTACCATGTAAAAATTTTAGTACATTTTTGGAGGAGCAAGTTTAATATTTCATGGTAGCAACTTCTTTATAAATCTCCTAGCATATTTTACACATAAATTGCTACTAAAATATAAATTCTTCGAAACATAGGCAAGTGGGGTCTAGTTTTTGTTTGCCTTGTCACGTAGAACATTTTGGTGCAAACAGAATTGAAAACGGATACTTGATTCAAAAGTTATAACAATTTAAATAAATATTTTTGTTTCTTTGTTTCCGTGCCGCCTTAGACCACAAACAAGGGCGCGTTTAGTTCGGCAAAGTTTGCACCATAATGCATGATTCTCCACTGTAGCATTTCGTTTGTATTTGTAAATTATTGTCCAAACATTGACTAATTAGGCTCAAA